ACCTGCGACCCTCAGATTGCAAGTCGAGCGCCCTAACCACTTGGCCATGCCGGGCATATATTATATGAGTTATATGTATCGAATGGCACAGGAACATCAGTTTAAATTATGTGGTTTAAGTTGTTGGTTTGTGTTTATTAAGAAAATACGGATATTTTAAACAATATACTTTGATCATATGATCAGTATTTTTACAAGCATGGTTAAAAGTTGGTAACCCGAATATACAGAACATCACTATTTACATCAGAATTTATAAGGTTAATGATGTAGCTGTAGATGTTAATGTGATAGACGTTTTATTAATTATATAATTTGTATAATATTTAGGATTGAGGTTTTGATTTTGTGGTACAATCTGCAGTCACTTATATATTTCAGACAATACTCTGAGTAATTATTTTTGAGGTCGTTTACTGAAGTAATGACAGTGAATAACTTTGATCACTGTCAATAGTAGTTTAAGCTAGCTTCAGATCGTAGAGAAGGTAGCCAGTTTCTGGATGAGAAGTTGTATTATTGAATAAATATAGTGACTTCAAGAATTGTCAGCTTTTTGACTGGAGTTCATGGTATTGAGCAATTGTATTGACATGAAGGATGAAGAAAGAACTTCTCATATCGAACCATTTTAATGACATTAAGCAAGAGTAGCCTTTTTCCTAGATATTAAAATGCCGTAACCTTAAGATTTCATGAGTGAAAGAAGTGGAAATTGTATTATAATATGTCGACCACATACATCTGGTTATTTGAAAAGTATTGACCAGATGTGGTGATTTGAATAATGGTCAGAACCTTGATGAAATCTTATGGTGTTGTAATCGTATTGACTTGAAGAATGATCAGGCTCTTGATAAAATGTTATTTTATTGTTAATAGTATTGAGTTGAAGAGTCATCAGACTTTTGATAAAGTGTTATGGTATTGATAATTGTACTGACTTGAAGAATGGTCAGACTCTTAATAAAGTGTTATATTGTTGGTTATCGTATTGACTTGAAGAATGGCCAGTCTCTTGAAGAGGAGCTTTGGTTTTGAACAATTGAAGTGACTTGAAGAATGGCCAGTCTCTGGAAGAGGAGCTTTGGTTTTGAACAATTGAAGTGACTTGAAGAATGGCCAGTCTCTTGAAGAGGAGCTTTGGTTTTGAACAATTGAAGTGACTTAAAGAATAGTCAATTGCTTGAGGAAAAGTTGAGTCATCAGATTACTGCAGTGGCTTAAACATTGGCTAGCCGTCTTTATGAGAAGTTGCAATATCGAATAATTGCACACTGCGACTCGAATAATTTGTAATCATTGTCCAGGGGTAAGATATTTATATATTTAAAAAAGTCGATTCATCCAGTAATTCGTAGTTAATGAAAGTATAAACTATGTCTGTGATCAGCTGGAAGTAAGAATGAGGTCTATAGATCTGGTGGATTGACAACTAATCCAACGATTTGAGAATTAAGGACAATAATGGTGGTCAATTGGAAGAAAGACGTAAAGATGGTCAGAGAAATTATGTAGCTGAACAGAATTAAATTGACAACGTTTTTGCTTTCTTCAATTTTGTCCTGTTTAAAAGTCCCTGGTAGCTCAGGGATAAGCTTTGATCGTATAACACTAAAATCTGGTTTCGATACCCACAGTGGGTACAGACCAAATAGCCCATTTTGTAGTTTTGGGATTAAAACAACAAATAGTTTAAACGAGTAAAGACATTAAGACAAAACTTGTTAATTTTATCTCTCTCTATTCGTTTAAAAAATATGCTTAAGTAAGAATTATTTTCAGTGTTAAGTTTCTCAACCATTATTAAATTTCCTTTTAAAACAGAATAAATACAGTGTCAAATAACAAAAAAAACGTATAAAGCATGTATAAGAATGAACGATACTAAACACTTTTATTTTGAAGTGTGTGACACAGATGAAGGATGGTTGTCCGTGTGGCGATTTTTCTTTGAAGGTGTACGATATTGAACGTTTTGATTCTAAAAGTACAAGTAAGATTGTTTTGTAAATAATCAAGGGGATTAAGGTGTAACGGTCACATTAATGAATACGGGACAATAAATCATCCATCATAACCTAATATCACCTTTGTTGTTTTCCAAAAAAGAGAAGAGAACTTCGTTGTTGGACATTTTATTGCATTGCATGCACATCCATTAACTAATTGGCTTATAAAAGGGAAACAGCATTAAACCAGAAAAGTCCCATCATTCCCGTCACACTCTGGTACAGTAATCTCCTGTTTGGATTCCACTTTGCCTTCTAACTGAATTAAAGAATGTCTGGGCAAAAATTATAGCTCTCATTATCACGTCCTCTACGTGAACATTGAGGAATGCTGTACAGCAAAGATACTAAAAGGTTGGCTAATACAAAGTTTTGGGGAAAACACACACAGAGAGACAAAAAGTACAACACGTTTTCAACTAATCCTCATACTGACTTTTAAACATCTCTAAAATGGCACCTTTTCTTTTATGAATGACCAGACTTTATGTTCTATGTAACTCTCGGTTTATCAGTAACTCTTTATTTACCTAGAGGCACGATAGCTCTTTGGTAATTAGACTAATGACGATTTGATATAGAGGTATAATCTTTACAGATTCAATAATTCAAATGTGTAAAAAACATTAAGTTCGCTTTTAACTTATTATATGTTTTTCTACACACTCGTTAAAAACAACATTTTACGTATTAAATGTAGAAGAAATTAATATTCTGAAAGCTAGAAAACATACCTCCTTTTTGAACTTCCTTATTGACGAAACAAACACTATAGTAATTACACAAGTATTTTCATGAATATTTCCATTTAAGTTGAGAACAACATGAATGTAGAAATTACTAAATATTTGAGTTATTCTAACTTTAAATACGTTGAGGAAATAAAGTACGTTCGAGAGATAGTACTGATGTGACCTTTTACGATAGAATACGATATAATCGAAGATTCGCTAATACTAATTACGCTATACGGTAAGCAGTCATAGAGAAAATATCAAAAACGTTCAGCTTCGTGATGCAAAACCAAATGGTTAATTCGTCATATTTAATGCTAACATAAAAAAAAGAAGGTTGAAGAAAAAAAAGCAATATTAAGCTGAAAGTCACACTGAGAAAAATCACTAGGATTAAAAGTATCCAGGAAAGATTATTTGGTATAACCAGGTTGAGCAAACATTTTTTTGTCATAACTGGGATATGATACAACTAAGGAATTATAAATGTTAGTTGTTTAACTTACTGTTTCTTTTGAGTTGGGCTAAAACGTTATATAGAACACTGACTCATAATGCTGTATATAAGTCAAACAGAAGGATGGGATTTCTCTGACTGCTATTGAACTATATGACTATCTTTAAAATATTTATTATTCTGAATTTATTAACTCTCTATTTATATGTATATGAATAACTTTTTACTGAGAATATATTTTTTGTTTGTTATTTTTACTCATTTCTTTTTTTCCATCACATGAGTTTAATTTTGTATGATTTTACAAACAAATCTGAACGGTAATTCTAATACGTTAATAGCTTATATACTAATCTGAAACCTTCATATAGACACATTGTACTCTAGTACCCCCACCCATCCCCAGTGATCCAGCGGTTAGTCTGAAGGCTTATAACGCTAAAATCGGGTTTCGATACTCGTGGTAGGCACAGCAAAGATAGATCGTTGTATAACTTTGTGCTTATTAACAACCTAACAAAAAAAGCATTTCAGAAACTTTCCAATCGTAGCGCCATCTATCCTAAAAAGTGATATCAAAATGCTCTGGAACAGCATACTTTCTCATTGGTTGGAGACGACTTGATTGGGTAATGAAGAAAAACCTTGTCGAAACGTTGTACATTTGCTGTTTTGTTAAACTTATGTTAAAGTTTTTCTTCATTACCCATTCATGCCGTCTCCAACCATTATCAGTCTCAAAGTGGGTTCGTCGTCATCGAATACTTTCTCATTGTCTTGAAAAACACAACAATTCATGAAAATGAAGCTTATAATATGTACAAAGATTTTACTTGAGTCACGTTAGTTCCCAGTTACCTCATATTTCATAATAAAAAAAATTCAGTCACACATAACTATCTTAATCTTTTCAACAAAAAAAGCAGTATAATAGTTCTTCCAGTTTTGTTTTAGTTGTGTATGTATATTGCTGAAACTGTATCATCTACATTAAAACGTAAGATGCTAATACTCTATAAATTAGAATTTCAATTTTTCTTCCAACTGAATTTTAACAGGGTTCGACACAGTATACGCACAACTTTTATCTAGCATATCTCTGGTAAAGAAACTTAACTGTTATTAATAGTTGTTTTAGAACAAAGTCACATTAGGCTATCTGATGTGTCTACTGCGGGGAATCAAACCACGGATTTTGGCGTTTTAAGTCCGTAAATTTGCCACTGTCCCACCGGTTGACCTATTGTTACTGACTGAATGTGAAATGTAGACACTATAATTATTAGTCTGATCACTTTCGAAAGGTAGACATTCTTTCATCAGGGTTCAACCGCTACGAACAAAAGTCTACCATTTGAAAACGCTAAAAATGTCAGATTTCATGATTTCTGATGCTGTGTGTTTAAGTTAGAATGATGAATACTTATATATCTATATATAAGTGCCTCATAATTTTATTTGTTTATATCACAAACGTAATTACATGTGCTGATATCATCGTTTCGTAATGTTAATCCCTTTTATTGAGATGTGCCGTGCTTAAACTTGGGTATGTTCCTATAAACTGTGAAAATCATGCCGGGTATCGTAACTTACGGTATTTATCCGCAGGTTTCCTTGTTGTTAACAGGCTAAATAAACCATTGGTCGCTGTTTGTATTGACTGCACAACTGGTTGGTTTACTAAGAGTGGAATAAAGGTTTGATTTCTAATCGGTCGTGTAAAACGACTGTAGACATCGTGTCCAGAGGATCAGCAGGCAAGTAAGCACATGAAGAACTAATCGGATTACTTACCTTGTGCTTGAAGCTTATCTGCAAAAGCTGAGCCTGGCTATGAACAGATGGTGCCGTTTCACCAGTGTCTAAGTAGATATGTCGTGGGAACTGCTACTCGTGCAGAAACTGGTGTGTAAATCACCACACTTCGCCTCGACATCCGAGTGGAAGAGCCGACTGGCCTGTCACGAATTCTCGTGCAACGAGCCGGTGCAAACGCGAGATGGCATGCAAACCCAACGCGCTCTGCTCACATTGTGCGAGGGGGGTGCGCAGGCGGGACGGGCACTCAAGACTAAATCACGTCCGACTAAAATCAATACGTTCAAGAAGTAGCAGTGCTAATTGGACAAACTGAGGCCGGGATACGGACCTACGGACCAAAGAATTAGTAATGGGTCCTCCTTTCCCTGGTGGCTACAATGGACATATCGAACCGTCATCGGCGTGTTGGAGGATCTGATTACTGCGGTAATTTTGTTTTCTATTAAAGGAAAGATGCTAATCACTTTCAAAGTTATTGCTGGTTATATAATTGTTAACAAATAACTTTGCATCTATTATTCTTAGAGTAATTTTGAATATCCAAGTATGATTTTAATGATGCCACTCATGTATCATAAGTATTTTTATTTGATAAGAAAAGGACCGATTATATACGTTAGGCCTCACGCTCATCGTATCATCTTAGTGAAACTGTATCATTGAAATGACGATAAGAAATATAAAAAAACGATCATATCTTTTTTTTCTTCCGATGTTTGTTCCGATTAATAGGCCTATTTTGTCAAAATGAGGATTTTACTCTTGTATATTATTTATGTATTTTGATACATACAAGGTCACAAAGAGAAACCGCTTACATATTAGGGTACACAGAACGCCGTAATAAAATACACAATGGAAAAGTTCAGTGGTTCGTTTTTCTAAGAGGTTAAATGTTTGTTGAACGAAGTATTGCTAAACTTTACGGCACCGAAGTGTTGATAAGCAAGTATACGTTAGGTATGAACCTGTAAAGTTAAGACCAAACTTTACTTATAGTTCGTACTCACTTCTCGCTTTTGGAACTATATTTAATCACTCACTTTCCTGAATTAAACAATAAATACCCTAACATTTTTTTCTGAAATGTTACTGTGTTCAAACCTCCTGTATTTGATAACTTATTAAAAACTTATTGGTGGCAAGATTGGAAAATCTTTGTCCTGTGATTGAATGCTTCTTAATGTAGCAGAAGTAAATAGTCTAGTTGGAGGATATTGAGCAACCCAGTAGGGGAATATTAAGTATTCTAGTTGGGTAGGACTTTAATAATGTAGTTTCGGGATTTTTAACAATTTATGATCGGAAATTATTTAATGATGCAATTGGAAAACCTTTTTAATGATAAACGTTTAGAAAATACTTAAAAATATATTGGTAAAGTGTTATAGTTCTTTGTATTTGGACAGTATTTCATATTTCATATATATTTTGTAGTTGAATAACTCCTGACTTGATAGAGAGGATATCTTACGTGGTGTAATTATTAAATTTATAATATACTAGTTGGAAACTATTTTGTATCGTGATTGGAGAATGTTCAATATGATATTCAGAAATATTTATGGATATATTTGGAAAATATGTGATGCTTAGATTGGGGATTCCTTAGTTTGTACTTGGGGATTGTTTGTTATCTGATCACGGAATCTTCAGTGTACAAGTTGGAGGAGCTTTGGTTCTATACTTTGAGTATTATTTATTTTGAAACAGTAAGTTGGTTAGTAGTGTAACTACGCAACCTTTTCTATTGAATATACATATATATATTTCATTATGTAGGTGGAAAAGCTTTAGTTTTTGTTGTTGGAAAGGGTTTATAATTTAATGTTTAATTAATGTGTACAAACGCAATTTATAAAAAATATGTCCAAGAATCCAGGGATGCTCTTCAAATTACTTCCTCCATCATCGATCGTGCTCATGCTGATGATGGCTGTGATTACGTGTTTTTGCCATACAACATAATTTCCATTGTAACAAACTTTTGCAAAAGATGATGAGATTAGTCTTAGGTCATACGTCTTAACAAATTTCACACAGATCCACACGAATGGCCAGTTTCCAAGACTACATTTAAGCAGATCGAAGACACCGTAATTCTTTGGAAGTGTGTTAAGAAACTTAATACGTACAGTGAATGATGGAGTTGTTGTGATTTCAGTCTCTTTGTCATGAACGCAACCGCTGTTTTCGAGGTACAGTTGGAAGCTTGTGGACGTTTCGTTTGGCATTACACTGTCGAATGATCGGAATCGGTATATATAGGTGCTAAACATGTCCATGCACTACGATTTGCTTCTTTGACGACATGCTACGGCATTAATATATATATATGAACATTTCTCTTATAAAGTGAAATACAATATTTTATGTAGTAACTGGAAAATCGTAAACAATGTCTCTAGTGATTTATCATCTTTTTAAAATAATTATAATTGACGAACCCTTAATTTTGCATTTGAAAAAGCAACAAAAAATAACATGAGTGAGTTATAAAGTTTGAGTGATTTTTTTATCTTATATTCGGAATTTGTTTTATCTAGTTAAAATATTTCATTTTGTTAGTGAATAATCTTTAGTGATGTAGTTGTAGTCTTTCATATCGTAGCTGGGGGATATTTTCTGATGTAGTTCTTTGCGTAGTTGGAGAATATCTTCTGATGTAGTTATTTATGTAGTTGGAGAATATTTTCTAATGGTTACATGCGCAGCTGGAGAATATTTTCTGATGTAGTTCTTTGCGTAGTTGGAGAATATCTCCTGATGTAGTTATTTGTGTAGTTGGAAAATATTTTCTAATGGTTACATGCGCAGCTGGAGGATATTTTCTGATGTAGTTCTTTGCGTAGTTGGAGAATATCTGCTGCTATGATTAAGGAATCAGTTTATGTTTCCAGGGAACATTTCATTCTGTAATTACAGAATCTTTAATGTTGTAACTGGAAAACATTTAGTGATGTGGTTGGAAAATAGTACATGAAGTATGTAGAGAATTATTAGCTGGTGTGGGTGTAGAATCTTTAATGATGCTGTAGGAAAATACTTACTAGTTAATATATTATTTGTAAATCGAAAATCTTTTATCCAGTAGATGGGTATTTTATAATGCGTTTGGAGAATATTTAAAGCTGTATTTGGAGAACCTTTAAGGTTATTTTTTCAAAGTATAATATATAGTTTTGTGTTTAGAAAAACCTTTGAAAGCGTGATTAAAGGATATTTTATTTTTTAGTGTTGTATTTTGATAACTTTCATGTTCTTATTATAAAATATTTTATGGTGTAATTGGAGGAACTTTTATGTTTAATTTAGGCTTGTTTTTAGTTGGGAAATAGTTTACGCTGTAGCTGGAGATTGTTTTTGTATGGTAGAAAATCTTAAGCTTTTAAATGGGGTATTTAAAATGTTCTGATTTATTAATGATATTTAAGAATACGCTTTCGAAATTTATGAGATTCAATGAAGAAATGTTGATCCCTGTATTGTACAGAACTCTTAATCGTTGTACTTTAATTGAACAGTATTTTATATGGCAATGGAAGGATCTTTTGGACAAAGTTTGAGAACATTCAGTGGTATAGATGAAGAATATTTAACAATACAACTTGTTAGTTTAGCATTACATCGTATTCTGAAAATACTTCTTATGTATTACTGCGTTAATTCCCATATATAATTGAATGTTTATTTCCACCACCATTGCACTGTAGTTTATAGCACAGTGTTTAGCATGTTGATGGTTTGAAAGCATCACAAACGTTTCATTATCTGCAGTACAGAAGAACCAGAACTTGTGTTTCAAATTCTTTTACATTGTTGACAGTGCACCCTCACATGTTAGTTCATTACTGTACCAATATTTGGCGGTTTTATTTGCCCGATTCTTACACATGCATGTCATCAGTAAATAGACGTTCTTTGTTCTTTCAGGGATTTCCAGTTCCTTGTTGATTCAAGCACAACCCTCTCCGTCGGTTTTGTTAAAATATTAGCGATACAAACTTTCTGTGTTTTATTTATGTGCTATACAAGATTTTGCGGAACCTTTACATAAGTTTTGCAAGTTATTATCATTGGCTGAGGAGAATATAACACAACTGTCTGACATTAGGTATATTGTTTAATGTATTTACTAAAATAGATCGAGTTTTAACTTTTTATTAGTATTAGCTTTGACTACGGACATTGGAGAGAATACTTTGATATTGTTATTGTAATAGTTTACTTTAACATAGACTAAAATGGGATATTTGTTGTATTGAAGCTTTGAATTAAAATACTTTTTTCCTATTTGAGTGTTTTACTGTATAGTTATAAATGGACTTTGTCAATATAGACAGTAAAATCTATAATTTCTTCGATAAACATATCACGACCAATGGTATTGAAGAAGTAGATCTTAGTTAGCGACAAAGGTTTTTTCAGGAAGAATCCAAACATCAGTTGATAATAATATTATTAAATAAGTTATTTTTGAGCTTGGAATGTAATAGAAAGGTGTATTTTCGGTATATAAAGCCACATCCCATACAGTAAAACACTAAATGAAGATATACTATCAAGTAACATACACTGCTTTTTTATAGTACCTTAATGCTAAAACACTAACTGAGAATATGTGAATATTTAATTTAAATATCTCCTTACTAGATGTTAAAAACGAAAATACAGCTCTAAATATACCTTGTGAATATATCACTGGAAACGTACGATCGACATTCGTGTATTTCAGGTTTTTATATGTATGTGTGGGCCGGACTTCTTATTGTAGATGGCTGTGACTTATTGGCGATACATTTGAACGATAAACAAACAACACACACCATCCACTTGTTTTAAAATAATATATTAAAACAAGTCAAATGTATATACAAGTGTTCGTTATACAGTTGGTTATCACATTTGTAACCAGTGTCTTTTTCATTAAATTTCACACAGGCTGGTTCAGTTACTTTAGAACACAAGAATTTGACAAAACGAATTATTCTTATCTGCTCTGTTATTACAATACAATCGGTGATAATATCACTTACGTTATATTGTTGGTCACCACAGTTATATCCAGAGCTTTAAATAATTGTTTATTTTTTTGTCAAAGTCTACACAGGTTGGTTCTGTTACATTAGAACGCAATTGGCAAGACAAATTCTTCTTCTCTACCCTGGTGTTACAATACAGTCTGTGATAGTTTCACTTCAAAAACACCACTATATGCTTTTTATGGCTAAACTTATAATAACACAATCTAAATCTAACTATCTATCTAACAAACTCCGTCTTACTTACTCGAACTGCATTTTGCACACATATTTATAGAATGACAGAGGCCTAGAATGTTCTACACATTATGAAATATTATGATAATCCTCAATCATAACAAAGAAAAATTAGAAGGTTCTAGTAACATGATGCAATAATATAAC